AGTATATTTGCCAATTTTATTTTAATCCCTTAAGATGTCGCGATATCCAAAACGCCGATTTAATTAAAAGATATAATTAAATTTTAGTGGCGCACTTAACAAAGTAAGTCTGGAATATGTGCGCTTTGCATTACCCCGTATACGAGAACTCTGTTACGTTATTGGGCGTCTATAAGTCGTATAGCAATTCACGGATAAATTCGTTGGAACGCGCGGGTGTTAAAAGCCGCGCAAAACTCCTTTCACCATGCCACCGGACCAACGAAGCATGCTACAGACGGATCATTGCGTCTAACCGATCGAATGGCCACTCTCAAATGATTCACGATTAAACTCGATCGACTAGTTCCGTTTGTTGCTTGAAATTAGAGCTGTCGGCGAGTAAGAGCCAAGTTATAGTAACCAAGTAATTCTAATATTATCTAAATAAAGCGAGTTATTTAAATACTATCGATTATTTACGATTTATTTAATCAAGATAAGAAATAATTAATTATTGAGAGAAGATACGTTTTATAATAAAGTAGCAATTGTGCAAAAATATATCGATATATAATAATTAAATATATAATTTAAATATTATACTTATGTATTGTTTTTTGAAAATATTATATCATATATATAAAATTATTAAATTCTTTAATATAAAAGAATGTATCACATTTTTATATATTTATGTTTTTAATTATATTTAATTGTACTTACTATATGAAAAATTTAAGCAATAATTGTACACAAATTTTAATCACAAATTTTTAAATATTTTTTAAGATTGATAGTATTGATAAATCATGTGTATTAATCTTAGAGATACAACATTGCTAAAAGAAAAAATTGCTTTGTCACATTTTATTAACCTTCACAAGCCTATATCCTGTTAAAAAATGGAACAAAAGAAAGGACAAATTAATGATAGCGTGACGTGATATACGTCAAAATGCTCAAAACTATTTTTAGCTCACCCGGAATTCGTTCCAAAAATCAAAGGTTACAAGAGAAAGGATTATTAACCGGAAGCAGCATTACACCACAGTATATCTGTTCCGCAAACTGCTGCGTTATTTGCATATTAAATTTAATCCACTGTATCAAAATTCAATGATTTTGTGTTTCTTTTCGTATTTTAATTTATAAGTAAATCTTGCATATATAAATATACACATCATATATACATATTATTTTTAATATAATTTTTTATCAATATAATTTTTTAAAAGATGTCATATTTTTCTTTCTTCTTTTTTCTTTTGCTAAAGAATTTATTGTGGATATATTATTAAATATTCTTACGTATAATATATACACTTTATATAACTTAAAATCAAGTAGAATTGATTTTGCTATAATAAATTTATTAAATTTTTCATTAATGTAGTGATAGCAATTTCAATAATTTTAAGTTTTAAGTTAATTTTAAGTTCAGATAAAATTTAATTAGGAATCGTACGTACTATGTGTGTGATTGCAGATAATACATTTTTAGATTGGATCGACCAATCATAATGCAATTGTTATACGAATTGGATATTCCAATGCAATAGATTATAATTATATTCAACTTTATATCGCTTTGTACTTTTACTCCAAATAAAATAAATAAAAAATTCCACAACAAATATGAAATTCGCATCTGAATAAATTAGATACATCCTACGATAATTATTAAACAATATAATTAAACAATAATACGTGTAAATAATACTTCATCAAGTAAATTAATCAAAGTAAATTAATTTTATATTGGCACATTTTCGAACATAACTTTTCATGCAAATCGATATAGTTACACAAGTAAGATTCTTTACAATTTGTACATTGCAGCAAATCGTGATGTAATCGATAAGGAATCACATATGTGAGCAACTCTAAGGCAATAATAAAGAAACGAACTACATATACATATTACGTTAGTTTTAAGATTGATACGATAAAATTGATCCGTTTTACGATTTCGCGCCAGTTTAAGTCATCATTTATAATTATGACGTGAATGATAGAGCAGTATTTTAGACAAAAATGGAGATAATTTATATTACATATATTTATGAATGATTTGCCATTCTCTTCATTTTTGACATTTCCTTTTAACTCAATGTTTCTTTTATTTTTAGAAATCAATAAATAACTTAATTAAGTGTGATTGTCTTTTTCTACTTCTACTTTTCTAGTCAAATCATGCTGTTTGAATACAATATTAAATAAAAAATGGTTATTGCTACATCAAAAAAAATCGTTTCATCTATTGCGCAAAATATATTTATCTACAATAATTCCACTAATTAAACCATTTATCACAACACAATACTAATAAGAATTTGCAACTTTAATTACGAACTATAGTTTTAAAATAACAACAAAATTTCTCGACTAGAATTAGAAATATATACACTTTTATTTTATAAATAAAAGAATATTATTATTTTATAAGTAAAAGAAATATTTATACTTTTTTAAAATTTTATTTAACAAATTTTCTGTCAAACTATTTTCTCAAATATAATTTAATTAGTGCAATATTACATATAACTTATTTCACATATATATGTATATATTTCATATCATACAAAATTTTGAAAAGAATATATGAGAGCAATAAAGGAAAGCAATAAAGAAAAATAAATATAAGCAATGCTTATTTTTAGATTTATTTTTATATTTAATTTAATTTTATATTTAATTATATTTAGTTTTATTTTTATATTTAATTTTATTTTCATTAACACTGTATTTCTAACTAAATTTTCTTTTTAATTCTTGGAAAAGAGAAGAATCCATTTTAATCAGATTTTGTACATAAAAAATTCTGTGCATGATGTAGCAATACCAAATTATTGCAATAAAATATGCCCTTTTGTGAATATAAAATCACTCACCACTCTGATGATACTTTCTGCCTTATGACATGCTTCCATTACGTAATGTATCTTCATCTGCTACAAATCCTGCATTTACAATTTATAATTATTAACATTTGCATTTTTTATTATTTGAATTCAGATTCTTTTTATATATTTTTCAGATAATATTTTTATAGATATTAATTCATATATGTTATCTTAATATTTATTTTTATTATATTAATATAATATATATTATATATATTTTTAATATATATTATATATACTTTTTTTATATATATATTATATATATTTTTAATATATTTTTAAAATTCTAATATAATTTATTAATATAATTATATATATTTTTAATATATTTTTAAAATTCTAGTATAATAATTTTATTATAATAATTTTACTTAATATATAAATTTAATATTGATATCAAATCACGAAAATGCAGCAAGAATAATAAAATCTAGCAGAATGCGCAAATAATACAATATAATTATTCATATCATTAAAATAATGCAAATAAAATAAATAAATTTACTCACCAATTGTTGTAATGAACTATTATCCTCTGATGATGACGAATTTATTCAGATCTCATAAAGTCTCGATCGTGTGGATTCACCTAACAAAAATATCATATATTCATAATATTTCATATTATCGATGTGATATATGGTGTTTATGTATAATATAACGATCGTTCGACATCTTTCTCGAATCTTTCAAATATTACACCTGTTTACAAGCGATATTTATTCCTGCGAATCAATATCATAATATATATAATTTTATTAACATTTAATAATCACAAGCGCAGTTTAATAATTAAGTTCACTTAATTAACGGAATCATGACATATATTCGACGTGATATACTGTATTTACACATAACGATTGTTACATTACCTGGTGCTATGTCCGGCATTCGCGCCATTTTTTCGACACCCTTTTCTCAATGTTTCTTCCTGATATTATACTCTCAATACTTCCGATTTTACATGCATATAATAATAATAGACGATATAATATATTTACGCATAATACAACAATCGCTCAACACTTTTTATTAAACATTTCGCGATACTCGATCGAAATTATATCCGCGGATAAAATCAAACTTTTCTGTTATTTCGTACGATCCGTTGACCACAAACATATACTACGCGAATCAAGAATGGCTATCGCGAGCTGAATAATTTGATACTAGTTTCTATGACACTAAAGTCCATAGATCATGCACTAATGATTGAGACTGACGTAACGAATCGAGGAAAATATAAAGATCCTTGCTTGAATCCGATTGGTTTAATTCTTTACACATTAATCTTCAATACGTGTAGTTTACTTTCTAGCAAGATTATTATATAGGAGAGAGGGAGAGAGAGAGAGAGAGAGAGAGAGAGGAAAGAGAAAGAGAGAAGAGAGAGAACGCGTCCATATATGACAAATAGACTTGTAAATTAATCGTCGACAGTCGAGATGTTATTAAACAGAAAATTGTTTCAAAGACTGTGTTAACGCCGTGAGCGTGGTGGGATAGGGTAGGAAGAGTGGCTGGGAGGGGGAAGAGCGAGCTTCACTGCTTTGTTTACATTCTTGGCGCGAGTCCGATTACTGATCCATTCAAGGATGTACGTCGTTCATAATGTTACAGAACGGCAAAATGATTTATCAGTGGTACGTGATGTCATTTCGATCTTTACGATAATTAGTTTTTAGAATTATATACCGTGTTTTACGCACACGCATTTTCTCTCTCTCTCTCTTTTGCTATTGTTACTTATCTATCTTTTTCTCATTGATATCGCGTTTGTATGCGAATTAAACGTTGTTTTTATGATATATTGTAAATCATGTGGCACTAATTTCTATATTAAATGCAATATTAAGATATATAGCGCGGTACAATATTTATTTGAGAATTAATTTATCACTCTTGATAATCATATAGTTAATGCGTATAAGAGAAAGAGAGGAAAAAAGATTTCAATCATATTTAAGTAAAAAAATCTAGATTTCTTCGCTTCTGATTGGTCGAATCGCAAAAGCTCTAGTGGAATCGAAAGTTGAGATATTTGGCGGTGTCGCGCTCGTCTGCGATGTATTGCCCGTAATTATTTGTGACGTCAGTGTCGTCAGTGTCGTGTTATATGGCGTGGAGATAACAATCGGGCTTCGTACGTCGAAGAAAAGTAATCATCGATCGCATCGAGCAATTATATCACGGTACAATATCACGTACATACGTAAAAATCACTTGTCTCATTATGATTGAATTGTGACTAATCATAAGTTACTGACAATGAGAACATAACTTGTGTAAATAAACGTATAATATCGAAAGTGTCGAGAAAGAGTGTCGGGCGACTATTGTGTTTTATTTAAATAAATCATATTATCACGTATAAGTAACCATAACATCGGAAATATCGAGAGAAAATGATCAAAAATTGAGATATTTGGCGGTGTTGTTCGCGCTCGTCGCGATGTATTGCGCATTATTCGTGACGTCAGAGTGTTATATGGCGCAGGTATAACGATAATCATCGATCGCATCGATAGCAATTATATCACGGTACAATACCACGATACATACCACGTACGTAAAAATCACTTGTCTCATTATGACAGAATTACGACTAATCATAAGTAACTGACAGTGAGAATAAACATAACCTGTGCAAGTAAAGATATAGTATTGAAAGTATCGAGGAGTATCAGGCGACTATTGTGTTTTATTTAAATAAATCATATCGCGTATAAATAAGCGTAACATTGAGAATATCGAGAGAAAAATATCGGAAGAAAAGTCGCGAAAAGTATCGAGAAATCTTCGTATTCTGCATAAATACCGCGTATATCGCGTCAGTGACAATAAAAGTATAAATAAAAGTATCAGTTAAATTATCTAGAAATGATTGTTAATAATAAATATTGTGTATTCTCGTGGAAGAATCAAGAGAAATATTCTTACATTATTAATTTGGAGAATCAAATCTAAATTTATATCCCCTATAAGCACACAATATTCCTAGGATATTGTACAAATATTAATTGATAATAATATTTATACAATATTTTAGGAATATTGTGTCTTATGGGGTTCATACATTTGTGTATATATATATATATACACACACACACAAATATGTGTATATAAATAATTTTATAAATTTTTTAGAATTAATTCTATATAAGTAATATGAAAAATATAATATTTAATATTTTTATATCACATGCGTATTAAATATATTTAAATTTAATGTGTTTAGGAACAAAGTGTTAGTGTAGTTAAGTGAGAACAACAATACAACAAGGATACAATGATAATATAGTGGGAATCCATCAGTACTATGGCAGTGCAACAGCAGTTTTATGATATGCAACAACCTGTGAGTAATTATATTTATATTTGGTATACAAATTATTGAATTTTTGTTAATTATTTGCTTGATTATGATTACAATTTTGTCGCAATAATATATTTAATCAAATATTACAATGTTATCTCTAATAAAGGAAAGAATATATATATATATATATATATATATATATATATATAAACAATATAAAGATATAAATATATATCTCATATAACAGTTAACAAAAAAGAAAAATATATAACTTATATAGAGAAACATTTATACAAAATTTAAATAATTATGCAATTAATTATACAAAATGTATATTTTTTATACATATTTATTTTATTTATTTTAATGAAAGAAATATCACATTTAAATATTTAATTAAATATTGCAATTAAAATGCAATATATATTTAATTAACAATGATTAAATTTACATGCATAAATACATTTATTGTATGGATATAACATCCAGGACGTGTAACAGAACATGTGTATTAAATCTGCTGGAATTAATATACTATATTTGTATTTTATGCTGTTTTTCATAAAGAGATTGGCTCTGATATTTATTAATATTAAAGTACTAACGGAACATGCTCGAATTAATATAGAAATTTTTTATCTTATATAAGTTTCTTTCTCTGTCGATGTATATTATCTAACTAGTATATTTTAATTAATTAACATGCATATGTGATATATGTTACTTTTTCTGATCTGATTAAAAACATTTTCTGCTGTAATACAACGTATAAGGGAATAAAATTAAGAGATACATTCATAATAAAAATACATTAATAATTAATAAATACGCAATTTATCCATAAGCAGAAAAAAAATCATTATGAAAACATGTGTTATTATTCGACCGAAACTCAATAAGTTTTTGAGTTATAAAAAAATATTATATAAACTTATATTAATCAATTGCATAATATAATGAGAATAATTTAAAATTGCAAATCCTTTTCAATTCTTCTTTTAAATTTCTTTTTATTATAAATTACAATTTTTTACTTGAGAATTTAATTGTGATTCAATATGCGATTAAAAAAAAACGAAAATAATATTATATTAAATGGACCAATATTTTAGCAGATTTTAACATATGATTTGCTTTTATTTCTAAATTAAAGTTATTAATTTTATCGTAAATATATTGAAAGAAATAGAACCATATTGCACACATAGAATCAGTATGAGACTATAATAATGGGATCCATTATGCGATGATAAATAGTCGTCATTTTCCGACAAGCTTATAAACGTTTTGAAGTTACATCGGCATTACTAATCAGCTGAAATCGGATAGATCATATAGTAAGATTAATGGATCCTGTATGCCAGCTGTTGAACGATTTCAAATCATGAAATGGCGCGATATTGTTAATTATATGTATATTGTACATAATCGCGTATAAAATCGTTAAATATAATTATCAAAATTACCATTGAAAAATATGTTAATAAAAATATATGAAAATATATATTAGCAGATAATGCTTTTTATAATAAAATATTTTTTATAATAAAATTTTTAAATCTATTCGAATAAAAAAGATCATGAAAGTTTCTAATGATTCAATTTCACCATTATGTTACGTACAAATTTAAGTACTTTAAATTAAGAGCAAATCAAAAGTATTGAGAAAATTTAAGATCAAAGAACAAAATTTTACAATAATATAATTTTTTATTAGGTAAAATTATAAAAGAATTCTGTTTATATGAAAATTATTTTATATTTTCAAAAATTATATATCTAATAAAATGCATACTTTGCTATTAGATCTAAATGCGTTTAGATATTTTGCGTTTATTATTACTTTTGCATCATGTTGCAGCTTACATAAATTTGTAAATTTTTTAAAAACAGAAAAAGATAGTCGTAATTTTAATTACTCTCGCAAAAATATTTGTATTTTAATTAATACATATGTGTACATGTGCGATTTAGTTAGTTTTAATTATTAGTATTTCTACGTTTCAAAATTATACATAACAGTTTAAGAAGGAGTAACTAAAAATTATAAGAAAAATTCATCGACTATCGATGCAATATGATGCGTTATTAATTTGTATGAAAATTTACAATGTTTATGCATAATTTTATGTCGCTGGACTTTCTCTCTTAATAAAAATGAACACTCGCGACTACAAAAAAGTAGACACAAGATAGCAAAAAAGAAGTATATACACTTTCAATCACAAATACCGGGCGTGGTGTAAATGGGATTAATTTCCTGCTTGCTAGTTAACAATTTCATCTCTCGTTCGGGGAAATTTCATCTATCGAGCGAAAGGAATCAATGACTATGCAACCATGATTTGATTATCAGAAAGAAGATCATTATTCCGTTTCCGAGACGAATTTGCATTCCACGACGATAAAATTCCGGAATGTCATTTCCTGTTAGCTTCTGATCAATCTACTGCAGCTTATCTATCCGCGTCGATTCCCGTGATTCCGAATCGCAACCTCTTAAGGCTTGCGTATCGCAGGAGGCACCGTTAATAAACACGATCCATTTTTAGTGCGCATTAACATCGGTTGCATTACGTTCTTCGGCAATCGCATGCCGAACTTTCTCCACGGGTTATACACCGGTTCTAATAGCATACATATATATGTATCCATATGTGCTGTTCTCTCTCTCTCTCTTTTTATCAACGAGAGCCTACGCATCTATATCGCCGATGCATATTATTGGCTGTTATGCAAAGGCGATTTATGGAGACCACCTTACAGGAATATCCTGAATTCATTCGCATTTTGATAAAGTATATGATCCTTATCTTTTAATCTTGGCAAAAAAAGACGAATGCTAAATTATATCATACTGAATAAAAATAATAACGCAAATATAAATTACAGATGACAAATATGTAGAAAAAAATCTTATACATTTATTTAATGCAACTTTCTGAGGATACATTATTTAAAAAAGAATAATTAAAATAATTAAAATAATAATTCCGAAAAAAATAATTCCGGTAATGATTAGATATAAATATACAAAAGGTAAATATTATAATTATAGAGCTTATACAGAAATAAATATTTAAAATTACTTTAATTTTATAAATAACAAGTCGCATTTATGTCTCCAAATTTCCGAATAACAAAATCGATTTGCTTCTGTATAAAAGCTACACACTACCATGTAATTAACAAACCTTCCCAGAGATTTTTAAATTTAATTAAAAGGCAATTTGTTCGAAGTCTCGTTTGTATCCTGTAATTTTTAGATTAAATTTCGTTTTATCACCGCAAAGCTCCCTGCTACGCACTGGAAATGTTTCCAAGAGAAATTAATTAATCTGCGTTAATTAATTTTTTTCTATCTAATAAAGGGATGGCAATCGTAAGCTGACACAATAACAAACTATTCTGTGTATAATATAATTACATTCATAATTTGTTTTTACCGAAATAACATCGTTTTTTTTTTACTAGACGCATATTTTTCTTTTCTTTCTCTCTTGTTGTTGTTTAAAATTAATTTCAGAATAAAAAGAGTAACAGATCATTGTAAAAAAAAGAAAGAGAATTTAAAAAACGTTGAAATCATACATGGTTATCTTTCATGTGCTGTCTTGTTAGCAAAAGAAGCATCGAACAGATTTATTCGTCTAAAATTGTTTATTAGATATTCGCTCAATGTATGGTTAATGAAAGTTTCATAGAACGCCATTTGCACGCGATGTTGTGTCTCGGCTACGTAATCGTTCTAATAACATATTGCAAACCATACGCGCGCACTTTTAACTTCGATAAAATACGATAATGGGCGCGCGATGTGTATTTTACTAAAGTTTACCTTATATTTAGTCCCAATTAACTCAATCAAGAAACGAGAAACTATTCATCCTTTTTTTTCCATGGTTTTGAAATATATATATTTTTTATTATCTTTCGAGAGGCAATACACAGTAAAAAATGAAATGTTGATTTTAATATTTTTCACACGTCCCAGAAAATCCACTCTAAATTTTAAGTTTAAATAATTGATTCGTCGTATGTCACTTATTGACAAACTAAAAATGTTAAATAATTGACACAATACGTTACATTTATTCTTATTGTGAATTTAAGTGTAATGTAAAAATAACATACAAATTAATTAAAAATTACATGAAAAAATAGTTACAATAACTCGTAAGAATTGTTATAGGACATTAACATATAATAGTAATTATTTTAATTTAAATTATTTGCAATAGCAACATTTGATTTTGGTAAATTTGATTATTTTATATGTCAAAGTTCAAGATTATTTGAAAATTTACTTTTCCTAGAATGTTAAATTGACTTTGAGACATGTTGATTGTTTAAAATGTTTATGTTAAAAATACTCAAAATAATATTCCATTTCTAAGAGACACATATACAAAGTGTTAAGTTATGAAGTTGATATAAAAATATAATACATGAAAACTTTATAAAAATAATAACATATAAGTTGTATGTTAATTTTACATTAAAGTAATAATCAAAACGTGTGGTAACACAAGAAAATTTTAACATATGGACGCACAATTTTTTACTGTGTATTCATTATCTTTCAAAATGTAGTCGCAAGTCGTGTTGCGTACGAAATGTGAAAACTTGTACAACGCGCAGGAAGGTAGTAAAAATTACAAGCATCTTGATTGCAATTAAAAGTAGCACGTCGATTCCGTTGCATTGGAGATCGATTAACGGGCAAGATAACGCAGCGTATCTCGCTTTTATTATCATCGCGAATTGATCGCACGGCGCGAATACATGCCTCGATCCCGTATTAATCAACGGCGAGTCGTGCAATCCTAAAGACGGCGGTGGCTGCCGGTAGTTCGAAACGCTTGGAAAATTGCAGCAGCCTTTAAACATGTAGTTTCTCTGTTGCGTCACGCGCGATTTGTCCCACGCATCGGCGCATAATTAAAATATTGCGCACTCTGCGGGATTCACGCTTTTTCTAGCTTCGCATGCGTCGCGTTCGGGATCGCCTAATTGGAAATGAATTAATTTAATCGTGG